AATAAATAAATAAAAAGGAAATCAAACCCACATCGAGCCCCACATCAGCCTCCGAGATCATCATGGAGTGTGCTTGGGATTCTCTCTCCTCACTCTGCCCCTCCCACTCGTACTCTCTCTCTCTAAAATAAATAAATAAATCTTTTTTTAAAAAGGAAGAAAGAAAGAGAAAAGGGCCCATAATAGAATTTAAAAACCAACATTTGGGGCGCCTGGGTGGCTCAGATGGTTAAGCGTCTGCCTTCGGCTCAGGTCATGATCCCAGGGTCCTGGGATCGAGTCCCGCATCGGGCTCCCTGCTCCTTTAGAGCCTGCTTCTCCCTCTGCCTCTCTCTCTCTCTCTCTCTCTGTCTTTCATGAATAAATAAAATCTTTAAAAAAAAAAAAAGGAGGTTGTCAAACTTCTCAGATAGAAAAGGAAATAAAAATATCCTTGAAGATCTCAGGAAGATCTACCTCAGGTAAGTAGTGGTTTGAGGAATAAACAGGAGAGAAAGTGGAGGTAGCAAATGCTAGAGGATCTTTGCGAGAAACTTGATGAAAGGGAAGAGGAGACGACGCCAGAGTGGTAGAGGTGGTGGAGAGATGAGGATGAAAGAGTGACTTCTAAGACTGGACAGACTGGAAAGTGTTTCTATGCTGAGAGCAAGAGAACAGAATGAGGCTGATGAAATAGAAATGGATGCAAATTCTCACTGAAGTTTTTGAGGGAAGGAGGGAGAAGCAGGGTTCATGAAGAGGAATTGGATTTGGAGGGAGAAGGAATACCCTTGAGAAGGCAGTCCGGTAGGAAGGACTCCTGCATATCAATTTGCAGGTGTTGCTAGAGAAATTACACTCAGTGCCTCTAAACTATGTTTTAATTTTGTTTCCTAGCAAATTCTTAGTTTTGGTGATGAATTGTTGATATAGTAAAGTGGTATGATGCAAGGAGTCTGGATTCAGATTGCTTGTGATTGAAATCCCACCTCTACCTCTACCCGCTGAATAGCTGTATGATCTTGGCCAATTCACTTAATCTCTCTGTGCTTCATTTTCCATATCTGTGTGAGGGGCTTGTTGGGGGGGGAGTGGGTTAGGAGGGTTTACACAGTAAATGCCACAGAAGTATTAACTGTTATTTTTTACACTAGATAGTCAGTTTCGTAAGGTTGAAGTTTTCTGTTTTGTTTAGGCCTCTCTATTCAGCCGGGCACTTAGTAGGTGCTCAATAAAAATTTCATGACTTACTGAATTGAAGGAGTTGGGGTTGAGAGACAGGCTTGGAGGGAAGGAAAACCGGGGGAGTGTGACACTTTCAGTTCAGGGCTCAGCCTGAGAGATTCCTGAGTAAGGCTCTGCGCTTCCTGGGCCTTGGGGCGTTGGGCCTACAACCCGACTCAAGGAGCGAGAGTAGTGCTAACAAGGAAGGAGGCGCTGAGACCCTTGGGTGCTCGGGTCCCGGGCCAGGCTCCCGTGGCTCCTCCCCTGGTGGGCGGGGTCGCGCCGGCGGGGCGTGAACGGGGCGGAGCCCTGAGCTAGCCTGGCGGGGCGGGGCGGGGCGGGGCGGGGCGGGGCGAAGCCGACTCTCAGGCCTGGCGTCGGCTCACCTCATCGACGGGGGCCGGAAGTCTTAGCCCGGCTCCGTCTGCCCATCGGGAACCCGGACCAAGTGCCGAGCCTCGCCCCACGGGGCGGCCAGGCCCGGGCTTGCTGCTGCGCGGGCGAACTATGAAGCGTATAGGGACTCTGCGCCTGCTTTCGGACCTCAGCCACTTTAGCGGCGCGGCCCGGCTGCGGGAGTTGCTGGCCGGGGACCCAGCCGTAAGAGTCCGCTGCAGCCCAGACGGCCGCCACCTGCTGCTCCTGCGACCCCCGGGGGCGCCGAGCCCGCAGCTGCTGGTCGCGGTGCGTGGCCCCGGCGCGGAGCTGGAGCGTGCCTGGCCGGCTGGCCACCCCCCACCGCTAGATGCCTTCTTCCTGCCGTGGCCGGCGCGACCGGCGCTGGTCCTGGTCTGGGAGAGTGGCCTAACCGAGGTGTGGGGCGCGGGAGTGGGGCCTGGCTGGCAGCTGCTGCGGAGCACCGAGCTGTGTCCGGGCGGTGGAGCCCGCGTGGTGGCGGTGGCGGCGCCCCGAGGCCGGCTTGTGTGGTGCGAGGAGCGTCAGGATGGTGCTGAGGGCTGGCTGGGGCCGCCTCCTGCTTTCAGCCACTACGTGTGCGTCCGAACCCTGGAGCCCAGCGGGGAGGCCGGCACCAACCTGGGCCCCACACACATCCTGCTGCACCACTGCCCCTCTTTCGGGCTGCTGGCCTCTCGCAAGGACCTCTTCCTGGTGCCCACTACCACTACCTGGCCTGGCGTGAGTCACATTCTGCTAATCTGGAGCCCAGGCAAGGGCAAGGTGATGGTGGCTGCCCCATGTCTTGGCCTCTCCCACAGTAAGAGCCTGAATCCTGGACGAGGGGACACATGGGACTTCCGGACACTGCTCCGAGGTCTTCCTGGGCTGCTGTGCCCCATGAAGCCCTTGACTGTACATACCTGGGCCCCAACTCCCCAGGGCCTGTTATTGCTTGACTTCAGGGGCACTGTGAGCCTGGTGCAGTCCCATGGTGGTACGAGGGCTGTGGGCACACTGCAGGAGGCACCTGTAGGCCTGGCAGGGTCTGCAGCACTGGGGACATTTCATGGGACTCTGGCTTGTGTGCTGGGCTCCACTTTGGAACTGTTGGATATGGGCAGCGGGCAGCTGCTGGAGAGAAAGGTCCTAAGTACAGACCGAGTACATTTACTGGCACCCCCTGCCCCTGGCATGGAGGATAAGGAAGAGCTGGAAACCCGAGGGGGTCTTCGTTTGCTTTCAGCCTTGGGTCTGTTTCGAGTAGGCTGGGAAGCCCCACAGGGTCTTGAGGTGCCTTCAGCTGAAGACCTGGTGTTTGAGGAGGCCTGCGAGTACTACCAGCGACGGAGCCTGCGGGGTGCCCAGCTCACCCCAGAGGAACTGAGACACAACAGCACGTTCCGGGCACCTCAGGCCCTGGCCTCCATTCTCCAGGGACATGTGTCCCCGTCTACACTGTTGACCACACTGAGGGCTGAGCTTCGAGATTACCGGGGCTTAGATCAGCTCAAAGCCCACCTGGTGGCTGGGGATGAGGAGGAGGCTGGCTGGACTGAGCTGGCAGAGCACGAAGTGGCACGCCTGCTGAGGACCGAATTGGTGGGAGACCAGCTGGCCCAGCTCAACACTGTTTTCCAGGCCCTTCCTACAGCAGCCTGGGGTGCCATCCTCAGGGCCCTGCAGCTCCAGCCAGACGGGAATGGCAGGCTGAGGTCCCATGCTCCCCCTGATGTGTGGAAGAAGGTACTAGGAAGCACTTCAGCTGGAAAGGAACCCCCCAATGGGATACTGCCCCTCTTTGAACTTCTGTGCCAGTGCCTCTGCCGGCTGGAGCCGCGATGGCTGCCACCCTTTGTGGAGCTGGCACAGCAGCAGGGGGGCCCCGGCTGGGGCGCAGGGGGCCCAGGGCTGCCCCTGTATCGTCGAGCCCTGGCAGTCCTAGGGGAGGAGGGGACCAGGTCCGAGGCACTGGAGCTGGAGCTGCTCTTGGGCAGTGGGCGGCCCAAAGCTGTGCTCCAAGCTGTGGGGCAGCTAGTCCAAAAGGAGCAGTGGGAGCGGGCTCTAGAGGCAGGCCTGGCCCTCGGCCCTTCCAGCCCCCTGCTTCGAAGTGAGATCTTCAAACTGCTGTTGGCCGAATTTGCCCGGCACCGTCGGCTTGATGCTTACCTCCCTCTCCTTTGCCGCCTGTGCCCACCAGACCTAGCTCCAGCTGAGCTCCTGCTTCTACTACGGACACACCTCCCAGATGAGTTGGAGCCCCCCACCCCATTCCCTGAGCCTGGAACAGAGCCCCCTCTCTCTGTGGGCTTGCTCAGAGCCCTGCTGGAGCAGACTGGAGCTAAAGGACGGCCCTCGGGCCCGGTTCTAAGCCTGTATGAGGACATCCTATGGGACCCAGGCACTCCACCCCCCACCCCACCTCGGGGACCTGTGACTACCCTCCAGGCATCAGACCACCCAGGCTGGGAGGCCTGGGCGCCGTCTGGACAGGGCCTGTGTGTGACTGACACAGGCTGAAAGTCATTTCTAGGACACAGCCATCAGGGAAGGGGCCTAGGAGTTGGCGGAGAACCAGGGTGGGACCTATGCGTGCAATGCTTTTCTCTCTTCTGAAGCAATTTAAAATATATATATATAGTAAATATTGTGATACAATAAATATATCTGGTCTTTGTCCTCAGGTTATTGTGCTGGCACAGAGCTCCCAAAACCCTTGGAATTTCCTGAGTGATAGGAGTGTCTTTTGTTATTCATAAGGAGCCTCTTTAGATCACATCTGCTTTATGGTAATAAGGTAACTTAAGGTGGGCACACCCACCCTAAGGATGGGACTGCTCACCTGAAAAACCAAGTGAGGAGAGGGTTGGAACTTTCAGCCCCATCCCCAACATCCTGGGAGGGGAGTGGGGCTAGAGAGTGAACTCTATAGAAACTCCTGAAGGAGGAAATTTGGTAAGCACATTAAGGTTCTGGGAGGGTGAGACCCCCCCCAGAGAGGGCATGGGAGCTGCACACACAGGGCCCGCCTTCCCCCCCTCCCACCCCCCCGCTCCTCAACCTATGCCTTGCCCTATGTATCTCCTCCATCTGGCTATTCCTGAGTTGTATCCTTTGTAATAAATTTGTAAATGCAATTAAAGTGTTTCCCCAAATTCTGTGAGCCATTCTAGCAAATTGTCAGACCAATTTATAGCATGGGAATTCCCAATTTATAGCCAGTTGGTCAGAAGTACAGTGACTTGCAACTGGCCTTTGAAGTGGGGTCAGTCTTGTGGGACTGAGCCCTTAAGCTGTGAGTTCTGTGCTAACTCCAGGTAGTTTGTGTCAGAATTGAACTGACATGTAAGACACCCAATTGGTGTCCATAGAGAATTAGTTGTTGGTGTTGGAAAACATTCCAGAAATACACAGGTTGTGTGTTTTTGAACAATGGAGGGTCCCAGAGGGTTGTGGGTAATGGAGGGAGCAGTTGAATCCAGTAGCTGCTCCCTGCTGGGGCTTGAATGCACCCCTCATCCCCAGTTTAACGCTAGTTCTGCCGCCTGTTGTGAGGAGAGGGGTCTGCAGAGCTTCACGCTTTCTTCCCCCAAGACTTCTGAAACCAAGGCGAAACTGTGATGGGCTCTGGGCCTGTGCCTGTCTCCCCGGGATTCCTGGAGCAGCCCCTGGTGCGGGGAAGAGCTGCCACAGGCAGGAGAGCTACCTGCAGAGCCCGTTGGCTTAGTAACGAGAGGCAGTGAGGCAGGGTTGCTTGGAGGGCCCACCCTAGGCAGAGAAAAGTATCTCCAGCACGGATGTCCGTTACCCGGATTTAGTTGCAGGACTACCTCTAAAGAGGCCTTCCATGCCCACTTCTATTCAGGTGACCCCTCAGCCTGGTTCTGGGTTTAGGGTAGGGCCCTGGGTGCTGTGACTCACCATCAACCTGGGCCCCCAGCCCTCCTTGTCCAAGGCTTGGGACGAACATAAGGACTGCTATTCAGCTTTGTCCTCAGCTGTGACCTACAGCTTAGAATCTGCTCAGCCTCATCCTGGGCTTAAAGTGGCTCTTAGGCTCACATGGAACTAGGGACAATTCCCCAGTCTCTCTAGCAAAAGGGGACAGCAGCTCCTCAGGCTTGTCCAGGGCTGGTGTTATTCCTCAGCTTCATGGAGGTCCTGGGGTGGCTCGTCTGCGTGGCCAAGTCCTGAGATGGCTCCTCAGCCTGATTAAAGCCTAGGGATGGTACCTTGGCCTCATCCAAGAACTTGGATGGCCTTTGTCCAAACCTTCAAGCCAGGTTGTCCACCAACACCAGGAGTCAAGCTACTGGCCCTTAAGCTACTGCTCCTTCCAGAGGCCCAGAACTAGGGCCTGGTCATCCCTCAGCCTCCACCTGGGCCCCTTCCTGGGTTGGGAGGGGCTCTTCCTCCTCTTCTACGTTTTGAGGCTGGACCCATCCCATTCATACCTCCTCAGAGAGAGGCTGGAAATGGACAAAGGCAGGAATCTGCTTCCTGTTCATAATCCTGCTGAATCATGGTTGTTTCTTCTCAGCTTAAGATTTGGCTTGGGTCGCTGTCCGTGCTCAGAGAAGAAGAAATTGTACTCAGTGGGCCCCTGGGGGCATGGACAGAAGAAGGGGACCAGGTTTTTTGTTTTTTTTGTGTTTGTTTGGAGTTGTATGGCTCAAGGAAGTTCCTTAGGGGCAACCACTAGTAGGGCCTCCAGGTGGGGAACCACCCAGCCTGGCAGCTCTTAGGGGAGCAAGTGGGCTTAGATGGGAACTTCCACCAGCTCTTACAGACTGGGCACTGATTTGCCGTTATCCTTGCTTAGGCCCCACCTCCAATATAGGAGATACAAGTGATCCCCAACCATGTGTCAGGACTTTGGAGAACAGCTTAGAGACGCAGATATCATCGTGGGACTGGGTTCTGGTGGAGTGCGTGAGGCCATCAGAGAGATGACCTAGTGTGGTCTTCCTGAGTCAAAGGACTCTGAATAGGTGAGTGGAGATCCCAAGTCTGAGGTCTTTGGTTGGTAGGGAATGTTCTAGGGCCAGAGGTAGAGAGGGTCCCTGGACAGGATGTTGGGACCTAGGGAAATGGGAGATCTAAGAACTAAGGTCTTTGATCTTGGGTGTCTGGGTAAAGAGGAGAGATCTAGGTCTGAAGGTTTTGAGCAGAGGACAAGGTCCCAGGTCCATGGCCCCTGGACAGGGGGAGGTAGGAGGGCCTGAGGTCCCTGGGTAGGTGAGGGAGAGGACCCTAGGCCAGTGGGTAGGAGCATTTCCACAGGAATCCCTCACCTTTAGAGCTCTCTGCTGTTCACTTGGCAGTAGCCTCTAGGAAGCTTGAAGATGAAGCTAAAGGTAGGCAAGACCAGAATGCAGTCTGGGCAAAGGAAAGAAAGTAAAGCCTAAGGCTCCTCTATCTGCCTATATGGCCCTGGGGCCCAATCCTCCCTTTTTCTTTTTTTTTTTTTTAGTTGTTTTTTTTTTTTTAAGATTTTTTTTATTTATTTGACAGAGAGAGACACAGTGAGAGAGGGAACACAAGCAGGGGGAGTGAGAGTGGGAGAAGTAGGCTTCCTGCAGAGCAGGGAGCCCAATGCGGGGCTCGATCCCAGGACCCTGGGATCATGACCCGAGCCGAAGGCAGAGGCTTAACAACTGAGCCAACCAGGGGCCTCAATCCTCCCTTTTTCATCTCCCTACTGTTTACCCATATCCCCAGCCCCAGCCTCAAACTTCCCTGCCCTCACCAGGGGATCTGCTGTTTGAACGCTGATCACAAGTTCTATGCCACCCAATGGTGGACCACATGACTACAGCAACACTCGTCTTTCCCAGCCTGCAAAAGCCGGAGACGAGAGCCCCACCCTTCCCTCTCCATGTGACCTGTAGGAAATTGGACCTGGTGGCTAGGTTGCGTCAGCGTCCAAACTACTCCAGCTTTCCTCCCATACACTGGCCTACCCCTAGGCCTGGCCCTGGCCACCTGCCATTGAGACTATTAACAGTGGGTTCCAAGTTGGTGTCCCTGTCTCCTCAAATCTAACCTTGCTTATCCAGAGTATTGTAACAAGCAAATCAAATCAAGCTCAACCCACACGGTAAAGGCCAAACACATCTCTTTCTTCACGAATGGGCCTGCTTCTCTTTCCAGTCTTCTCTCCACTCACTTCCTCCTTCCACCCTCTGAAGAATATATTATACTTTGAACTACTTGTGGTTCCCTGAACTCAGTAGATTTCCCCCTCACTCTGTGCCTTGTGCTTAGCAAGCTTTTCACTCTCTTCTCTGCCCAGCCTAAGCCCTTCAGCATACACTCCAAATGTCACCCCCTCTCCTAAGACTTCCCTACTCACCCCCAATAAATTTAGTTACACCTTCTCCTGTTCTCCCACAGTTCTTGGTACATACTTCTAAAAAAGTATTTATCAAACTATCTTGTGATTGCCTAGTTATTTGTCTCCCTGATTCGCTGAGAAGTTCCTGAAGGGCAGAGACCATGGTTATTTGTGCTTTTGTATCCTCAACGTGTATCACAGTACCAGGGGCATAGTAGGTTTGATTATAGATGCAGGAACTGACTGGTCCCTATGGCCTAGGGTGAGAAGTGATTATGTTCTAGTCTTTAGGGATTCGCTGACTTTCTTCCCTTCTTCCCATAGACCAGATTCACTGTTTGGTTGATCCAGACCTGAAATTGATGGGAATAGGTCAGCTGGATCTGCAGGAAGAACCAGACTACCCTTGCACTATGGGGCGGGGAGGGGGGGGTCGCTGAGTCAGGGCCATCTTTGGATTTGGGGTGAAGGTGTAAGAATGGACATTACTGTACTACACAGAGTGCCCTGATCTCTAAACCAAGAGAGGAAGAGAGGTGGGAAAGCCTGGGTCGGTGAGGTTTTTCAGGGAGGGAAGGGTGGCAGGGACTAATGGGGGTTGTGGGGTGAGGTAAAAAAACTGAGAATTAATCCCCACGTTGAATATGGCTATCAGGGACTGTGTCCTTAGGAAGTATTCCACATTGTTCAGATGCACCAGAATTTAGTTCACACTTTCTCTGCGTGGTCAGGGAAAGAGAGGGAGTCAGAAAGTGAGAAGGGGGCAGCTCTAGACCCCCAGCTCCATAGGGAGCCACCTCAAGCCGGAATGTCTGGCATTTTTACTGCTCTGGAAAAAAGAGAAGGAAAACCTTGAGTGGCTCCCTTAGGCCCCCACTCAGTGTCTTCTTAGGCACAGGCTCCCCCTGGTGGTTACTCTTATCATGGCCATCTCCACCCATTAACCTTTAAACATGTACATACTTGCCCATTTATTGACTAAGGACTGAGGGAGCCTCTGGAGGTGGTAAATTAAGGAGGACGGGGTCAAGGTAGAATTCAGGGAGCAAAATCATGGAAGGGGAAAGGACCTTGGACTTGTGTCAGATGGTATCTCCCAGAAGAAAGAGGTCCTGAGCTGCCAGCATGCTTCCTCTCTAGGGTTGGAACTTTGCCAGCCTGACCTGGATAATTTGATCCAACTGGAGAGGAAGTTGAAGGCACAGCAGAGTTTCCTGGGAAGGCACGGTAAGGTCATATTTTATATTAATTTGAAATATAGGAATAAGATGTCAGGACTTATTCAAAATCAATAAAGTCTCTGGGGTGCCTGGGTGGCTCAGTCAATTAGGCGTCTGACTCTTGATTTTGGCTCAGGTCATGATCTCAGGGTCATGAGATAGAGCCCCGAGCCCCGTGTTGAGCCCACATTGGCCCATAGGGCTCCAAACTCAGTGGGGAGTCTGCTTCTCTCTCCTTCTCTCTCTCTCTGCCCCTCCCCACTGCTCACGCACTCTTTCTCTCTCTAAAATAATCTTAAACACACACACACACACAATAAAGTCTCACTTTATGCACAAAACGTGAAATGGAGGTAAATCTCCCTAAATAAAAACTTTTTCAAGAATCACAATTTCAGGGGCACCTGGGTGGCTCAGTCAGTTAGGCGACTGCCTTTGGCTCGGGTTTTGATCTCAGGGTCCTGGGATCAATACCCCGCATGAGGCTCCCTGCTCGGCGGGGGGCCTGCTTCTCCCTCTCCCACTCACCCTGCTTATGTTCCCTCTCTCGCTGTGTGTCTCTCTCTCTCTGTGAAATAAACATAATCTTTAAAAAAAAAAAAAAGAATCACAATTTCATGGGACACCTGAGTGGCTCAGTCAGTTAAGCAGCTGCCTTTGGCTTAGGCCATGATCCCAGGGCCCTGGGATCGAGTCCCACATCCGGCTTCTTGCTCAGCAAGGAGCCTGCTTCTCCCTCTGCCTGCCGCTCCCCCTGCTTGTGCTCTCTCTCTCTGACAAATAAATAAAATCTTAAAAAAGAAAATCACAATTTCAAGGCTAATAGTGTGCACTGTAAACTGCGCTTCCATTATTACCCAATGGGTCCCCATTTCTGTTGGTAACAAAAATTCAGATGGGGAAGGAGGCTGAATCAGGTCATGAAGCCAGGAGTGAGTGGCCAGGGTCACTCACCCGTTGTAGGTAGAAGTCTTGGAGCAGTTTCTCCTCTAATTGCCAGAGGGAATGCCTGGGCCTGGCTCCAAAGGTCTCTTCATTGTAGCAAGAAAAAAGATGAGGAGAGACAGGTCAGAAAGATGAATAAGAGGATGGAATAGGACCAGGAGACAAACAGATGGGATGGGGAGAGGGGCCTGAGAGAGGCAGGGAAATGCATTTACTCTGGGGAGCACAAGAGGCTCTCAGGTGTGAATGGTGGGAGGACAGAGGAAGGGGCAGAGAAGGGGTCCCTTGGAGCCTCTCACCAGAATTATAGCCAAAGTGCAGAGCCAGTGAGTTAGCTGGTCTAGGTCTGGTCTCCAGAGGTTTCCATTATCTGGGAAATAAAGGAAAAGGGAAAGATCTGTGATGAGCTGGGGAAGGGGGAGTGGGGGTGGGCTTCTCCAAGAATGAGGATGGTCTACCTCATCCTAGGCCTCCCTCAGCTGAAGGTTCTGGAGAAGCAGACTGCCCAGGTCTTTTATAGGTTTCAGGTCCTCAGGCTTTGGCAGCCTGATTCTAAAGTGACAGTCATCTCAAAGTCTCCATTATCTTTGCTTTGTACTGGGGGAAAATGGGGAGAAGTGGACATTGTCCCCCACAACAGCCCCATGCAGGCTCTAGGAGCAGGCTGGAGCCACAGAATTAGAGAACAGGGCTTCCCCAGCAGAGATGCACAGAGCCCTGACTTGGGTTGGAATGCTACAGAGGGAGAAGGAAAGGAAGGCCTGAGAGGAGTTATAGGGGCAGAGGGGACTCAGATATCACCAGTTCAGTGTCCTGGGCCAAGGCTAGGGAGACACTGACCTAGATATAACCGAGATCATTGTCTAAAGGGGAAATCAAGTGACCGCTCCTCACTGACTAGATTGGCTCACTGTTCTCATGGTCCCCTCAGGGACAGTGGAGGGTCAGTATGGGATAAGGGATTTATGGGGAGCTTCGGGGAGAGAGAAAGGACATATGGGTGACCCACTTTCCCCCTCCACTCTACTGATCAGGCCCTAGGGAGCTCCCCAACAAGTAGGTCTCCCCTGTAAATGTTAGGAAAGGGAAGGACATAAAGAA